AATATAATATTCAGTATGTTTTCATTAGTGTATAATCACCTGAATATAGGAATTGTTATGTTTTCATTACCTTAGATTGAGCTGTTTATATCTACAGAGGAAGCAGGTCTTTTAACGAGTCCGCCATGTTTCTACAGTACAGAGCGGACAAACTAAAGCTCTAGATAGGGCGTTTACGTTTTTTGTGCTTTTTGAGAGTCTCGTGACCACTGTAGTTTCTCCTACAAACTTCACTGTCTGTTCTCATTTCCAGGTTTTCAAATACAGGCACAGCATTCAGTTAGTTCCAGTATCTTCAGTATCATCATGAGTCATGCATTACTAAAAGCATGACATAGTATATTATATGATTTGTACCCTTATTAGTGTTATTGTTCCTTCAGTCCTCCTGTAGTCATTTATCAGTGATAATGCCTTCAAGGTGTGCATTAAAGTGCTTGAGTAGAGAGTGAAGATAGAAACAAAGGGCAGATCACAGGACAGGGCATTTAATTTGTCCTTCCATTACACCTCTAACTCCTGATAAGGTGCTGAATTAAATTTCCCTTATCTTATAATGATTGTGCTGTTATGTATAAAATGTCAACGCAGCTGATTTAGTTATTAAAGGAGCTCTTGAATATTTTATTATTGCACTTACTGCAAAGTTCAGGGACATGAAACAGATTTAAAAAACAATGGTTAAAGCTGAAGCAGCAAATATATCCTGACTTTTAATGCGGGTCAATCTAGCCGAACAATCAGACTGAATTTCCATTCATTCAGTCTGTCCATTGTGTTCCTGTTAACCAATTTATTGTTGTTGGGAGGGATTTATATTATATTGTTGACATGTCCATCCCACCAAAGGCATGTGTTTTACATTGATTCTGTTGCTATTTTACATGAATATAGCTATATAGCTAGTTACGTAGGAAATGATGTCCTATTTCTCCTGTAATCCTGTCTACTAAACTCTGATTGGTTGACTGTTGGTGTCCAAAACAGCTGGATCCTACATTTAATGGAAAGTAATCTTTTTGTTAATCCCTCAGGTTTATTTCCTCAGAGTTGACAAAGAATACATTATACAACTGTTTTTTACAGGCTGGGTGACCAGTAAAATAATTTCAATGTGTTAAATTGACCTTTAGAGTATTAATCATATAACAAATCAACATCTTATCTAAATCATGTTGATCATTGTTGTATTATATCAACTTATTGCCTCATTTTATAACAAATGGAAAACAGACGTAAATGCTAGTTTATCAATTTAAAACTTAGAGTAGACTCTAATGGACACTCATATGGCAGCCGTTTTTTGCATCACAAAACAAGAGAAACATATCACAGGCTTGCTCTTCAACAGCTTAACTGAATAGCTTTTATTAACACAGTCCAACGTGAAAGAACTTTGTTCAAAATAATTGTCATGCATAGCTTTTATATATTCAATTCAATTCAATTTTATTTGTATTTATTTGCGCCAATTCATAACAG